AATGAATGGCTATGTCGACGACATTCAACGTGACGGATATTTCTATCTATCATCCTTCAATCGAGTTGTATTCAAGTGATGCGAACTCAGAGACGAGTTCTTTCGAAAGAGGGACTGATACAGAAGATCTACAAGACGCGACGCGACGACTCGAACCAGACGAGTCGACAACAAACCAGACAAGACGAGACCCCGAGACTTCGAGACCCCAATCAAAAGGACCCGAGACTCCGAGACCCCAGTCGACAGGACGAGATCCCAGCTGAGACCCCAGTCGACAGAATGAAACGACACGCCTCAGTCGACACGAAGGGCGGTGTTAGTCAACACCTGCCAGTCGACACGTCCCAGTCGACACAAAGGGAGCCAGTCGACACATGTTAGTCGGCTCATGTCCAGTCGACACGAAAGGCGTTACTACTCGCCACGCCTCGTGTCGATTAGGATTTCAGATTAGGAAAGAGTTCCTTTTTTTATTGTTTCCTTTTGGGATTTGGTATTTTCCTTTTAGATTTAGAGTTTCTTTTTTATTAGAGTTAGGATAGATTTAGTTGGTTATAAATATTAGTTCCTTTTATAAATTGTAAATCAACTTTTCAATTATTCAATTAAGAGAATTTTTCTCCTTGTTTTCGTTCTCAACTTTGAGAAACTTAAGCTTGTGGATTCAAGCTCGTGAATTATCTGCTGTTGTCAGGGCTCGTCAGCATCGGAACGATATCCGATCGGCTTTCCTGTTTCTACGTCTACGTCAGATATGTAACCTTTTGTCCAACATAGCCCTTCAACAAGAATCTTTCTTAAATGATTAACTAGAAATTAAGAACACAGGAGAAAAAAAACCAGATTTCCTTGTTCAGCTATTCTAACAAGAAGACCAGGATTTAAAGCCGAGAGAAGGCACCTCACAGATGATTTTTGTATCACCTACTATGAGAAATAAAAAAGGCAATAACGGAAAAACCAGAGCGCAATATATGAAATTTTATAAAGATATTTATAAATACAATCTAATTTAGAATAACATATGTGCCCATTTATTCATTTCAATAAATAATAAATAATAATTAAATGATATAAAGCACAACACAGCAAGCTAATACTGAATTAAGCAAAGGCAGTCTATCATGAAGTAAACAATAATTAAGAAAAAAGACAAATAACACTATAATGATCTAACAACCAGCAACTAGAAAAAGACTAGCAAAAAAAACAAGTTAATTAAAAAAAAAGCAATCCTTCTTCAATGACATCTTGGTCGCTGCTTGATGCTACTTGCTAGCGGCAATTAGTGGCCTATGGTGATCTTAAAAGGCTTCCTTTTTTATCCTTTTTACCTCCTTTTTGGTGGTGACATTTTTTCCTTTTTTTTGTTTTCTTCCTCGAGGTTTGGTTTGGGGGTTGGGGGGTGGTCTGGGTGCGTAGGTTGAAAAGGACAGCACCAATTGGTGTTAAGAGGGTTCTATTGATAGCTCTAATTGATTTGTGGTCATTACTTGGGATGTAAAAGGATATTGATTTGTGGATCTGATAGGCAACAAGAAGTAGAACATGGAGAGAGCAGCTTCTGAGCCTCCAATGCACAACACAGCCACCTTAAGCACCTGCCTCATTCTATGTGCACACCGTACCCGCCTCATTTTGTAAGCGTTCCATTTGTGCCTGGTGCATCCTCATGAGATGCCTTTTGAAACGATGCTAAGGATTACCAAAGTAGAAGCTTTTTAACTTTCACTCAAGGTTCAAAGTGTTTTAACTCCCATCACACACCAAACCACTGTTATAAATAACGGTAAATAGCGCTGTCATAGCAGCGCTAATAGCGTTAGCGGTCCTTTCCCACTATGCTATCGCCCAGTAGCGGTGATATATTATAAATATGCACTTTCCACAGGCAAACGCGGCCAATAGCGCTATAGTGGTGAATAGCGGGCAACTGCGGGGAAAATCCTCTTTTTGACCGCTATTTAAAGAGGTTTGAGGTTTATTTCTTTTAAATTAAACCTGACCCGCAACCACTGCATTCCACCGCCTCTAGTGATTTCCGACGTATGTCATCTTCCACAGCCTCTGGCATCTCCCTCAGCATTTCTTCTCACCTCCTTCACCATGAGCTCCTCCTACTATAGTACTCTCACTGCTCATCTTCTCGAAGACGATGACTCTTTGACTTCTTCTCTAGTTGTCTTCAGTATTATGTGACGGTTACATGTCTATTTTATGTTTAGGATCTCTTTAAATCATCAAGTATGCACTTTTAAATTTTCTAGATTTTTCTTTATTTTTTATTATTCCTTTGAATATTTATACATATCTAAATTAGACTGCTATGTGACTTTAAATTTTTTACTACTATTTTGCCGCAATCACCCCAAATAGCCTTAGCGATACCTCACCGCTACGCGACGTTATCCGTTGTCGATAACCTTACACCAAACAGAAATTCTATGACAGCAGTTGAACACCTTAGGAGATTTTACTTCATGTAATTTCTCAAAGGCCAAATCATTGTAAACATCATGCCACTTGCATGCAAGAAAAAATAGTTTATATGATTGGGACACAATACGCAACGTCTACTCCATACACAAGTAGACTGTGTATTGTGCAAACAATGATGTACATAAGGCCCCCTCATCTTCCTAGTCTGTCGCCAAGGACTTCCATAATGACGTTTAAAAGAGGATTCTTTATGGTTAACTTCTGGAGTTATTTTTTTATTTTTTCCTTACTAACAATAATCGCCGTCTGCAGGCCATAATGAAAATTTGCCTATTCATAATTTTCTCCATATTCAACATAACTTCCACCACATTCTTTTCCAAGATAAGCCCCCTTAGGCCATCTCCAACGCAGCGGCAAAATGCAGCAAAAAATGCATTTGTCGTTGCGTTTGATCTTCAACCCAGCCGCATTTGTTACGGCATTTTAGCGGTGATGAACAGTGCGGCATCATATTTGGTGTCGCACTGTTCATCACCGCATTATTTTTTTATTTTTTATTTTTCAATTTTTTTACCTTTTAATTTTATGTATTTGCAACGAGGTTTTAAATGACGGATGTCGGGTTCATGTCGGATGGCTGAAATTCATGTCGGATAGCGAACATCGGGGATATATCGGGGGACATTGACTAAATATCGGATTGCTATATCGGGTAGTGCACATATGTATAATATCATGTCCTAAATGTAATCTAAGCATTCATAAATTCAATATAAGCATATTTTATAAATTCTATAGACTAAACATATAAAAAAGTAAATAATATATGGATTTGGGTTCATAAATTCTTTCTATCGGGTTCATAAGAAACCCTTAAACATGAGAATGAGTCAAACATGTTTGGGTATTTATCACTAAACCCAAACTCGATAATAAAAAACAAATCTTAAAAAAAAGTATCATATCGGTCGATTTTTTCAAAGCTAAAAAATAGGCCGATATGCCCAATATGACCCTGATATTTCCGATTTGGCCCTGAAAACCGACGTACGAGTTGAAAACGTCCATGTCGTGTCGGTCAAGCCCTCAAACCGATATGTCGGCCGACATGTCGGACTCGTGTCGGTCAAGCCCTCAAACCGATATGTCGGCCGACATGTCGGACATGTCGGACATGTCGGCCGACATTTAAAACTTTGATTTACAATTTGACCCCAATTGTTTTATTAAATTTATAAAACAACCCCAATAATATTAAAATTTTATAATTTTACCCTAATTGTATAATTTAGACAAAATAAATTATTTTAAAAATGGAAATAATGTTAAAATTTAAAAGACATTATTATTAATTATAATATTAAAATCTAGACATTATAAGTAAAGTCACATGAAATATAAATTAAAAAAATAAAGAGAAATCCTAATACATAATTCAAATATAAATTACATATCTGAAATACATAACATATAAAAACTGACACACATAATATAAAACTTCATTAAAATAAAACATAAAATACAAACTAAATATATAACATTACATAAGATGGACAAGCAACTCTCAATAATCTGGTAGATCGCATTCAGAGTGTCCAATATCATTGAAATAATTACCAAAATTAGAAGCAGACCCTTGTTCTTGTTGATTTCTTTTTTTGTATTATTTTAATCTGTTGAGCTCGAACGTACTCACGTACGTTTGGATCAGCAATGGAATTCAAATCTTTCATTATAATTTTTAATTCATCTCTATCTTTTTTCATTGCTATCTTTTCTCGTTCGATATCAAATGCTACTTGCCTGTTCAAGCTCACCTTGTCTAACCTGTTTATAAGTCGGTTGTTATTTGTATCGATGGAGTCAACTACACTTGACTCATGATCATCATTTTTCCTTTTTAATTTGGTTTTTTTACCCCAATAGGTCGTTCAGGTGGAGTAAATGATGACAGTCCAGGAGAACTTTATATAGGAGAATCCGGAGTGGGATTATCTGATTGTGACGAGTCGAAGTTCACAATTTGGGGTTGTCTTCGACCAACTTGTCTTGCAAAAAATATGTGAAAAAAATAAAATTTGATATGTGGGGTTAATTGTTGAAATAGTTAAAAATATAGAGAATAAAAAATAATAATATAAAAGTAGATAAAAAGGAATATTCTGAGAATATTATTTTTTGGTGCAAAAAAATAGTGCAGTGGGTTAGAGATGAATTACTGTTTGATGTGACTTTTGTACCATTTTGGTGCAAAATTTACACCATTTTGGTGCGATGGGTTGGAGATGGCCTTATGCCTATGTTCGAAATTTCAAATTCCACCCATCTTATTTCAAGGAATCTGTCCCTGCCACTATCTCCTAGTCTCCTATTTACTTCTCTACGTTCAACTTATCCACATGAATACTTGAAAATATTGCATGGGTAAGACAAAATTTCTAGGTGAACAAACCAAGGCTTAAAATCATTATGTGAAGCTTCAATCAAGTGAGCCTAAGACCAAACACCTGGTGTGCAATACACAGACGACAAAGTAAAAAAGAGAACAGACCAACCTCAGTGCCATCGGGAAGAATCTTGGCAAGAACTGGAATTTCATACTGATACAATCTCTCCCATTCTGAGTTCTCCGTGATATCCCTCACCTAAACATCACAACTTCAATCAAGTTTAACAAGGAAGGAGGAAAATGAGTGAACGCACAGAAATGGGCTTCTCAGCTGGGGTTGCCTGAAGATGAACGGAGGAGAGGGGGTGGGGCCCGCGGAGGGAGAGGGCGGCATTGAGCTTCTCCTTGAGCCCGTCGCAAAGGCAGCAGCGCGGCTTCGAATAGAGCAACCACAGTTGCTTTGCTGCCGCTGCTGCCGCCGCCGCTGCTGGCGATGGAGAAAGCGGCGACAGGTCGCCGGGGTCTCGACGCGCTGCGATGGATGAGGCGGGCCGCGAGCCAGTAACGGGTTGGAAAGACAGCGCGGCCATTCACTTCGTGCTCTACGCAAAAGGCGAGTTTAGCGGAATGAGGGTCTCAAAAGCGAAGGGCTAAATCCGTACTAAAAAGAAAAAAGGAGGTTTATTTGGCAACGCTAGCTTGTGTGCGGTTGAGGGGTATTCCAGTTGAAGAAATTTTCGATTTGAACTCATTCCCATCCTATCGCGTTTTATTTACAGGGATCAACCCACTTTGTGGCTAAGTTAGAAACGTGATTATAAAACGGGTCGATTTTTTTAATCCGATTCCTAAATAGTCGAGGTTGGCAACCCTGACTATTTTGCTATTGTACATATTAAATTAGTCGTAGTTGCCAACCCCTACTACTTTAGGACCCTATCTAATTGGTCGGGGTTGAGAACCCCAACCAATTCGAAAAAGGATTTCGAACACTTCAGCGAAAAAAAGGAGAACCAACATTATCCATCAAAATGACGAACCTGTCATTAGTTTTGCTCCTCCGTCGCTGCTCCGTTGCGGAATGCTTCGATCTCGGCGTCAGCAGCTACTGCTTTAGCTCTGCATTCTTCCCATCAAATTTCACTGTAAAACCCCCTTCATATAAAAACAAAGAGATGGATCAGAAACAGAAACAACTCAAAAATCAACGATCAAATTATTACCTCTTTGAGAGGAACCCTCGCGTGTCAAGTACTCGTCATCGTCTTCTTCACTGGATCTCAAGAGAATCTCCATCCGTATCCTTTGAAGATGGTCGGGGTTGGGAATCCCGACCATTTCGAAAAAGGCTTTCAAATTGGTCGGGGTTCCCAACCCCAACTAATTAGACATGGTCCTAAATTAGTCGAGGTTGGTAACTCTGACTAATTTAGCTTGTACATTAGCAAAATAGTCAGGGTTGCCAACCCCGACTATTTAGGAATCAGATTAAAAAAATCGACCCGTTTTGTGGCCACGCTGCTGACGTGATCACAAAGTGGGTCGATCCCTGTAAATAAAACGTGATAGGGTCAGTTTTTTTAAAAAAAAGTGGGAATGAGTTCAAATCGAAAATTTCTTCTATTCCAGTTCCACACCGAAAACCACAATTATACTTGGAATTTTATCTAGTAAAAAGGTTATTTTCGAAAGTATACAAATAGAGCATTGCTTTGGTGCTTCGAAAATAGGAGTTTTTTTAAGTTTTAATTAAATTAGGTAGAAAATTAAAGTTAGGCTGAGAAATAGAGAGGATATGTTTGCCACTTCCTCTTTAATTCCTTCCCTATTATCTCCCCTTTCATAACTACTTCACACTTGCCTGCTTTATGTCGTTATGATCTCATTCATGTCTTATGGTAAATATTCAAACTATTTCAATCATGATCTCGTTCATGACTTACGATAGAGAGATAAAATCTATAATTATACATGATGTGCAGATTTTATTAATAAAATTTATTTTTTAGACATAAATGTTATAGTTTATTCAAGTTTCTATCTCTCTAAAATTAATATAAAAGGAAAAGAATAAAAAAAAGAAAATAATATGCACATGATTAAGTTTTCCAATGGACAAGAATAAAAGTTCCATAACATAAAAATAAAAAATAAATTAAATTATCAACCGACTTATCCCTTAAATTTGGAATGTAAGAGAGATTTTATAAGGCTGCAGATTGTTTTGCTGATTAAATTATATATTTAAATTAAGAGGATTTCTGCAAAGTATAACTATTTCTACTCGATACGACAAACTTCCCTTGTAATAACACAAATCTTTTCATCTTAAAAATCAAATACCGTTATCGGTAACTTATTGATAATTCGATGCACATAACCCTATCGCATGAGAATCTTAGTTTGACCGTGTCTTCATTAAAGTTTTTGATGAAGCTATAGTGTTCACAATTATCTTAGAATGAAACCCTATTTAACCTTGTGTCAAACCTTGTTTAAAATTAACTAAACATGGAAAATACTTATCCCAAAAACATAAAATACCACATTATTAAAATATGGGCTACCATAGCAGAGAGGAAACTTTTCACATAAACCCCTCTCTTTTTTTTCCCACAATTCTCTAATCACATGGGCTCTTGCCTATATTGACACTCAAGCTCCCCTCTTACGCCTATTTTACTTGAAGCTAAAAAATCTCTCACCATAACACTCCGTCTCCCTTTTTGTTCTCCCCCATCTTGGCCCGCCACACTACAAGCCCAAAATCCCTAAATTTTCTGCCATTAAAACCTTTTTTTGTGACAAGGGAAACCCGGTCAGCTCTCCCAACAATAACTCATTTGGAGTCCGCCAGCGGCCCTGGTTCGAATCCCTCAGGTTCCGACCTTCTGAAAGGAGCTAGCCTTGCTACCAGGGGCTCATCCCCACGTGAATGGGCGATCAGCGTGGGACCCTAAAGGCCTCGAACTGGTGAGCATACAACGGGTTGGGTTAACTGACCAGTAAAACCCCGGATTTCTATACCGATCCTTAATCCCACAGAAACCAGGTGAATGCGAAAACAAGGATTTGAACACCTGACCAACTAGGGAGATCTCCTCCCTCACTCTTCGTGGCGCTCCAGAAGAAGAAGGAAAGTTAGGAGCTAGTTGGAGGGCTTTTAGAGAAAGAAATAAGACTGAATATTCTCGACTAGATATACAACCAAACCATCTTCTATTTGTTTTAATCTAAGATAGTTTGATATAAGAATGATTGGAGTTTGAGGCTAAATCAGCTCTTGAATGAGTTCTTTGAGACATCATGCATGCATGCATAGTTAAGGGCTTGCATGTCATCAGTCTATGTTTCTGTCCTGAATAGTAGTTTTTACAAAATATGCTTAATTTGTATAAAATGATCATATCTTTCTTTAGAAAAATTATTTTGAGAACAATTTTCTTCGATGGAACTATTGCCTTGATTAGCAGAACTATTGATTTAGTGGCTTGAATGATGCTATATGATTCATGGACTGGTACATTATTATGTCCCATAGGGACCAAGTGCCCTGTGTATTGATGCTCACCGGTGGGTGTATAGATGAATGCATGTGTGATTGATTGATATATCTCATGATTAGGGAATTTAGAATCCTAAATATTGAGCTTGATTAATTATTATTGATATTCACAAGATTTATTTCAGTAGCTGATTATATTGTGAGTATTGGTAAATTATCATTGATATCTATTAGCTTCAATTTTGATTGTTTGTATTATAATTTCCTTTTTCCCTTACGGCTGTACCCTTGATTTTTTATTATGGTTGCCTATTGAGCCTTATGCTTACCCTTACTTGTTTCTGCATCCACCCATAAATAGCAGTCCAGTTAAAGGCAAGAGGATCACAAACCTCAAAGAAGAATATCTCGAGTGCTCAGCAAAAGAAGAAGTGAATATTTAGTTATCTTTTTGCTAACTGTATATTAAAACTCCATGATGTAATTGTTCCTTTAAGCTTTATTACTATTTTGGTATTCTGTGGATTCTACTGTCAACTTGTGATTCTAGGTGTTGCATGTTTCTATTGCTTTATTCTGCTTTTTGGCATTGATGCAATCCCCATAACCATAACTAGGGAGAGGTCCAGGAGATATATAAAAATTAGGCATGACTGGGTCGTTATAAAGTGGTATCAGAGTATAGGTTGACACCTCAAGAGTACTTCTATACAAAATACCAAGGGAACTTATTAGTAGATTGGGTCGATATTGAACACCGGTAATGGAGGGATTACACTTGCATGGCATTCATGCCTTACCTATATTCATTTGAAGATAGACTTAGTATCTTGCATTAACTGATGGATGGCTTTTGGCACACATGATAGATTTGTAGTTATCTGATTTTTCAAATTTGAGAGGTTCGCTAACAGCGGAGATGTGTGGTTGGATACCTTAGACGGTAGGGTTCAGACCCAGAAGAAGCCACTATTGATATCGCAGGATCATCCCCGATGGGTAGCTGAACAAGGGGATTATAGACGAGGAATGTGGAGCTAGAGGGTAAAGACTCCAAGGCTAAGGATCCCGTAGAGGAGGATCTAGCCTATGGAGGAGGAGACTATGGAGGAGAAGTCCATATAGGGCGAGATCCTAGAGGGAGTGCCCCACGAGTGGGAGTTTAAGATAGAAGAGAAGCCCGTATATAGTGAGATCCTATTGTATGTACCCCCTTTGTTGGAGTTTGAAGTGGAAGAGGAGCCTATGGAGGAGGATTGGTCACTGGAAGGTGAGCTAGGGGTGGAGGATCATAATGAGAGTGATAACAGAAGTAGATTAGTCTGTATGGTAGTGAGCCACCACCAAGTGAGGACTTCGATGTGTGAAGTAGAACCAGAGGAATAAAGCAAGAGTCTTTGCTCTAACAAAGAAGGGTCCCAAGTCATGTCATATGTGGTGGAAGATACACTTCCCATATGTTCATTTACTGCATATGTACTT